GGGGGATCTCTTCCCATTTTTTTGTGTTTTGTGTGGGGTTCCCCCTGAAAATCTACACCAGATCCCCATCTGGGATAAGGGTCTGCTATGAATTTTGGAGGTGCCTCAAGATTTTACCTTTTATAGGGTGCCACGACTAGAAAAAAGGTTGAGATAGCAGAAGGCTCCCCTAGACCAGTGTTTAGGTTCATGGTTGCTGAAGTGACCATGAACTTATAGCCTATGGCAATACAGCTACTGTAAGGGCTATTGACGTATAAACAGTTCTGTGCCATAATTCTTATGTCGAGACAATTAAAGGGTTAAGTCACTTTTTTTACCCAAGTGAAAGATCTAATGTGATCGAGCAGAAGTAAAAAAAATGTTCTCCCCAGATCATTAATATTCATTGCAAGAACTTAACAGTCTTTACTGTAGTGCCTTGCCTACGGCTGTTCTGGTAATCCTGAGGGCCGGTCTTAAAGGTACCCTCCTTAATCTTATAGAAAGGGTTGTGCTAAATGGGAGGGTCGGCCTGCTATAGTCTCATGATCAGTTCTGGTGTTGTAATGAGATGGAAACTGCTTGGAAAAACATCAGACCAATCCTATAGGCTGAGAGTTGAGATTTCCTGTCAGAAACAGCTTTCAGAATACACCCCCCAGGTTGCTGTGATTGAATGTGACATTTACATTTTTTAGTTTTTGAAAATGATGTCTGGCTAAATATGGAGATAGAAAAGGAATCTTTACATTACAAATTGACTTCTGTAGCAATTATATAAACTTTCTAATTTAAAATCAAGCTTTTCTGTAAAGCAGAATAAAACTTTGCTGCCAGCACACAAGGTGTTTGCCATGATGTGCAAGTATGCACAGTATATTTGCACATTATGGCAGACTTGCTTGAGAAGCACCCCACTTCAGCACTCTGATGGCTGCGGTGGGCCTCTTTGCTCCATCGCTGCCGTCGACCTCTTCGCCTGATCTTCTTACGGGTTTGGCATCTTCTGCCATCTTGATTGGCCAACCCAGGGTGATCTATGTCCAGTGCATGCATCCTGGCTCAGTGTACATTCACAAAAACCTTGCTGGTGGTCACAGACGTACAGAACATGCAATAAAAACTTGCCTGTCAGCAATACTTTTTATACTAGAATTTAATTCCACTTGGTGACTTTCCACTTGTTGTTCTGCTGCATCTGGGAATTGCTGGTATGTTCTTGGGGGATCAAATGGCATTTTGTTTATATACTTTTAACCTTGTATGCTAGACATTCTCATAAGTACAAGATTATATGAAAATGGACTCTATTTTAAACGCTTCTGTTTTTTAATAATTTCATTTTTTAAATGTTGAGGAATTATAATGCTTAACTTTCTATGGCAACTTCATGCCAAACATTTTGGTTATAGAAGAAGCTGTTAACTGTAGTAGCGCACACAAATGGAACATGGGTTAATTATGCACTTTTATCTGTTTTGACCTCCTTTTTTTTAAGTTTTGTTGTATGTAACTGAATTGGCTGTTTTATCCGTTACTTGACACTAGTGATGTAACATTTGAATATTTATTTTATATTTTTATGATATATAGTATGTGAGTTATGATTTTATATTTCTACTCTTATTTCTTAGAGTTTGCAACAAGAGGGTGAAACCACCTTACAAAAACGGCTGGATGAAGTTAGTGAGGAGCTGCGGAAATCCCAGAACAGTTACAAAAATCTTCTGGCAGATGCAGAAAAAGCCAAAGACGAACAGAAACATCTGTTGGGTGAGGGGACATTCTTTAATGGATATAAAACATACCTAAAACTGCACCTCTTGGAAGTTGCAGAAGTGTGAATGTAGCCCTACAATTATCAATATCTTCAAACAAAACACTTTAATTTACTACTATATTGTTTTACTGTATTTACCTTTTTAAAGTGACACTAAACTCAGGAGTTAAATCTTAAAAATGCATTCAGGTACCCCATTTATTAACAAAATTGATTTTATTGTGTATTATTTGACTGTAGATCCTCAAATCATGTCTGAATTCATGCTGACACTGTCCTTCCTTCTGGAGGGTGGATACTTACTTTTGTTCCCCATGGTCCCTGTGTGTGTTGTAAAGTAGCCACTGTTCCAAGCTCACTTCTGTGATAAACAATAACTTCAATACAAATTCGCAAACTAAACATGAGATTGTAGTCCATCACAGCAGTAAGCTTGGAGTGGTGGCTACATTACAACACACACAGGGACCGTGGGCGAAAGAAATAGCCCCCCTCCAGAAGGAAGGACAATTTCAGCACAAATTCAGAGATGATTTGAGGATCTACAGCCGAGTGATACACAAATCAGATACATTTTTGTTAATAGCTAAGGTACTTTAAACTCAGGAGTTAAATCCTAAAAATTATTTTGTGTCACTTTAAAGCCACACTGGGCAGAATGATAATTTAAACACTGCATTGGCTGTGTAATGTTATCACTAAAAAGTTGTGCATTATGTGAAGAGGGCAGCTGCAAAGTAGAAAAATCTGACCTTGCAGCTCGCCGTCTCCTTCACGTATCACCCAGCTCACGGTCACTGAAGAGCTGTACAGCACTCTAGTCACATAAGCCACCCCTCCTCACTATCCTCCATTTACAAAATGTCTTGTATTTTTTTTAAATATGGCTTTAGGTGACCGATTTGCTTATCTCCTGCACATTCCTTTTTACCTGTGAGACAGCCCATAATAGTAATATAGTCTTTCTATTTTTTTTCTAAGAATTTATTGCTGAAACTGGTTCATGTAAATTAATTTTTTTTAAAATCTGGATTAAAAAGTGTGTTTTATATTGCATGTCTGTTGAACATTTTGGCATTGTTTTCTGTGAACATCTTTAGATTTACTGTACAGTTAGACTTCTCTTTATACAGAATGAATCAGACAAAAAAAAACAATGGGTTTGGGTGTCGATGGCTGTGCCCATTCTTTGCATAACTGGGAAATGGATTAGATTAAACTGATGTTGGCTTAATCTATGTACTCAGAAAATTGCTTTGGGTATTGTTACATAATCGGGGTGTAGTTATAGGATGTATCTTGCTGCCAGTGATTGTGATTCACCAAAAGATGATGTGACTTAATCTGGCTATACATTGAGCTTTGGTCGGTTCTTGATCAACCAGCCACAGCGGGAGATTCCTCCATCTGCGCTGTTTAGCATGGATGGAGGAATCATATTTTTTTGTTTTTTTTTGTTCAGCTTTTGCCTGTATGGAAAAAAACAAACCGTGTGCACCAGCTTAAAAGGACATACTATATCTTAGTCATTGCATTTTACCGAACCTTGAACACCATTTACACCCTCACATCCATCCAGTGACGAAGTTTATCCACGCTCACTCTGATGTAACTTTTTAAGGGTTATCATTCCTCTCCCCTAATCTCCAGCAATGGAAAGCTATAGGAATGGTTTTAGCATTCCAATGGCTGGTGCACATCTCTTGCTCAGAGCACGCACACATGGAAGCTATTCATTTCTTCCTCCAAATCTAAAAGAAGAACTAAATCCTAAATCCTCTTCTTCTTTTCTCCAGGCCATGTGACTGTCCTCACTTCCTGCTTTCCAGGCATCCACCTTTCCTATGAAACCTAATCCAGCTGAACATCAGTAGCATATGGAATCCACATTAGCATTTAAATGAAGGAAGTGTAAACTCAGTTTAACTGAAACAGTTTAACCCCTTTTAAATGAAATGAACTGATGTTTCCACAGTGGTCTACAAAAATCCCAGAGCATGCATAGTCATAGACATACAGTCTCCCACCTCTAATCAGAATACTGTCTATCCTAATAATAGTAGGGCTTTACATTGTGTGAAGTGCCAGCAACATGGTTTATTTGTGATGCGTTGATTAGTAGACATTGTCACAGTCTGATACACATCCTCTTCTATAAGAACCCTTGTCATCAGTTTATTGATGATCTTGGTGGAGGAGAGTAAAAGCTTGGAGTGAAACCTAGGTTCAACTTTTCTAAACCCTTGGTTTCACTCCATGACATTAAGCCAGCCTCCAGACTCCTTTTGACCCTTTTCTGAACACTAGATAGGTCACTATATATCTACGACTTGAGAAAACAGGTATATGGAGGTATCTTTACGGGTCTGGATAAAAGTTGCTCCTCCTGAGCCAAACATTTTCTCATTGATTGTTTTAAAACCTAGGTATGGCAATCAGGATTTCATTGTTTCTCACTTCTTTTTTAGATCTTCAGACTAAACTGATGTCTTATGAAAATGAAGGCAAGCAGAAGTCAGAAGAAGTGGAGAGACTAAACCAAAAACTTAAAGAGGTCTCAAGTGAGAACTTCCAGCTTTTGGAGAGGATAAAATCCATTGAGGCTCTTCTGGAAGCAGGACAGAATAAAGACACAGAGACAGATGGTCAGATACAGGTTAGTGAACACTTTCAAAGATGTGTGACTGAGAATGAGGACGAGTCTGCCTTGTGTTCCAGGGTTTTTATTTAAAAATATTACACGGTATGTATACACTAGTTGTGATGTTACTTTGTTTTCTTTTGTCTTGCAGGAAATGAAAGAATCAGAAATTGCGCAGTTACATTCCAAACTTCAAGAAAAAGATACTCAGATTTCCTTACTGGAAAAAGAGACCGTTGAAATGAAGGAAACAATCGAACAACAGAAAAATAAAAATAATGTGAGTTGTTGGGTTTTTTTTTGTCATAGAGAATGGTTACAGTATGAAAACAGAGACATAGAACAGAGCCAGGTTAGGGATCAATTTGTTTGTTTCCCTTTCGTCTCCATTATTACTTTGTTCAAAAACTAAATGGAAAAATGGTTTCAGCCTTTTGAAAAGCTTTCACTTTGTCCATTCAGGGTACAGTATCAGGTTGTCTTTTATATCCCAATTAAATATTGAGAGTTAGGTCTCATGTAGGCAGGCTTCAGGCCCAGGTGCAAGTCAAATGCAGCATGCTTTCAGTTGCATCTGAGTTGCTTTTGCATTTACATTGACTTCACAGGGAAGAATAGCAGCTCAGATGCAAACAAAAGTCTGTGTACACGAGGTAGATCTTTACAGTTTTTGTGTAAATGCAAAAATAAAATGTACACTATGTTTTTCGGATACAATTTTGCAGAAAGCAGATCAGCATGGCAGAGTAAGACATTTCTGATGCAGGCAGTAACTTTGTATTGTTTTTAGCTAGGCTTTGGACAGCTGCCTGACACGTTTACATTTCTTGTCAGGCATGTTGAAAATGAAACAGTTCAATGATCTTGTTCCAGAAAGGCTCTTATGCAACCTCTGTCCATTGCCTCGCATTGTACATCTGTCAAACATTATGCAAGCTTTTCAGAATCTGATTCTGGAGAGGACAGTACTTCCTGAAAAGACTGCTTATATTTGACAATGAAATTGGTTACATACGCATGAGGATTGGACTGCCATGCTTGATTTGAACTTTGGCAGCACGGTCTTTCATGGCTGATTCTAGAGGTTTAACTAATCACTGAAACTGTAACTTGTAGGATCTGCGAGAGAAGAATTGGCAGGCTATGGATGCTTTGGGTCTTGCGGAAAAAAAATGTGAAGAGAAAGTAAATTCAGAGAGGAAAGCAAAGGTAAAATCTTCAGTGTGGAAGTAGAAACTAAACACAACAATCTTTAACCGTTGGTTCCATGTTCTGTGTGTCTTGTGTATATCATATAGTTGAGAATTTAACTGAAATGTGCAGAACCCTCCACATTGGAGTACTGAGGAGCCTAACTGTTGTGTTGATACCAGTGGGTCCAGACTGAGAACTGTAAAATGGATTGGCCCTTGGTTTGACTTTTTGCTATGAGGGGGGATTCAAAAATATCAAGTGAGGTAATTCCTCCACTGCAGAATAGATTTTAATTAAGCTTTCAGGAGTGCAGATATCTCCCGTAAACAATAGGTAAGGAGAATTCTGCGCTGTTTCTTCACGGAGTTGCATCAGTGCTGTGATATCAATGCTGTGTTGCTCACTGTTCTTTCTGCTGGAGATTCTAACATTTCCAACATGAGTAAGTAAGATCCTACCTTTACCAGGAAGGCCAACTTCACACAGAGAAAGCCTGCATAACAAGGCATGGAAAGTCAGCCTTGCGGAAAAGATCAGTGCCAGGGAGACCACATGCAATACTGATGACTTGCCTTTTGGGCAAGGCTTCCGAAGTTCAGTTCCTCTTGTGCTGTAGGTGGAACTTTAGGATTGTTTTCACATTTTCCTGGTGGTTACTTTGATGTAAAGGCTGCAGTTTACATAACTTCAACAGTTTAAGCGGAAATTTGCATACAGAAGTGGATGACTCATGAGTAGTAACTTATGTTTGTAACTGTCTCTTTTCGGACTGCTCGGTTAAAAGTTTCATTAAGACAAACGGCATCGTCAAAATAGTTAGTTTATATGGAATGAAAAGATGAGACTTGCAAAATACTGAGGGAGCTCTCAACCACGGTTCACAAAGTGGACACATTACTGGGTAACCACCCCTTCAGACTCCAGTTGCAAAATAAAATGAAACACTTTGGCTGTCAGCTCTTTTTAAAATATTGGGACAAATAAAAATGTAATATCTGGACCACCTTGTACAGCTTGATGCTCTCACCCTTTCACTCCGTTCAAGCTGATTTTTAGGGACCCTGTTGGGCCTGTACCAGACTATAGAGAGCTGCCACATTCCTGCAATCATTTAATTCTGAATCTTCTTAAAACTTGTAGTCTAGCACTCCACTATCCTAAGTTAAGTATTCAAAGCAGGCAGTGTGTTCTTTGCTGTCTATATAGCTATCCCATTGTGCTCTGGAAATCCTATGTAATAAATGTTTATTTGTTAAACAGACTTTATTTTAAAAAAAGGTTTAAAAAAAATATACACTTAAAATTGTGCCATTCAGTACGCTGCAGAAAAATGCATGTATGCTTTTTTTTTTTTTTTACATCGCACATAACACCAGCGTTGCCGTGTGAACAAGTCACATTGAAAACAACAGTTGTTTTCTGTGTGCCCTTGCAGTGACTGGTGTCAATCCACTGCAGAAAAATGCCAGTCACCCCAACTGGTGTGTACAAGCCCTTAAAGTATTTTCTCCTTCAGCCCTCTTGGTATCCTTCACATATTTGAGACTTGGGCAGGACTTAGCAGGAACACTTTTTTTTTTATACTGCAGTATATTTACTGCACAGAATTTATTTATTCACGGAACTGGTAGAATTTATCCCAGAATCCAAAGTGCACTGTAATTGGAGCAGGCAGATCCTGCCATTCATTCACCCCTCCTCCTTTCACTAGACGCTTTGTATTTTGAAAAGGTTTTGTAAAGGGGAATGTTTTTCCATGTGTATTTATACTGCACTAGTTTATTCGGACAATTAATATTTTATCTAATCTTTATCATGAAGCCTCAGTTTCTTCTACAAAGTTAGTTTGCACTTCTGAAATCTCTGACATGTTTATTTTATTTCCAGGATGAACTGGAACAACAGCTCAGTGGTGTTCAGAGTCACACAAAAGAAACCCTAATGTCAATGTTCCCACAAGTTACTGTAGAGTCACACCAGGTATGGATATGGTTGCCTTCTTTTATTCACAAAACATTAATGAATAACTCCAACTTTCTTACCATGTTCAGAGTGTAATGCCTGATCGTAGTTGCAATGCTTTGAAGGCAAACAAAAATCAATATGTGGAAATAGTTATTGTTTTATTAATGTGTGCGCATTTATTGATATTTTTTTTTTTTTTGCACAAGGTGGACTTTGCCTTTAACACAAATTGATAAGTGCAGTAAACTGATCACATTCACATAACAATAAAAATATGTTTGAAGGAAAAATGCATTCCCTTTAAAGTTTTGAGTTACTGCATTATGAATGTTGAAGCAAGTAAAGCCACAGCTAAATTGGACCTGCCGCTTATAGCAACCAATCAGATTTCACTTTGTTGGTTTCAGGCCACTGAGAGATTGAGGCCCCATTCACACCTGAGCAAATGCTTAAGTGCTACAATGCACAGCAAGAGAAATGCCATTGTTTTTAGTGGCCCCTGTTCACACCTGAGTGCTCTGTCGCTTGTAGAAGAACTCCTGTAGCTCAAAAAAAAGTACATGAGCTTCTTTTGGGGCAGTGTCAAGCATGTTGGCCCCAATAGAATTAAAATGCACGTAACGTGTTTTTTATTTTTAATCTTTTTTTTTTTTTTTCTGTGCCTATAACACTTGCAAAAACTCCTGTATAACAAAAAAAACCCTATAAAAAACACCCAAAGACATTCAGCTCAGGGGTGAATGGAGCCTGACTCTAGCTGTTGTTACTTGTTGCTCAGACATATTGTTCTTTGTCTTTCTAAATATGCATATATGATGAATTAATGAAGAGCTGTATTTTCATTGTTACTGACTCTTATCTTACCTGTTACAGCTGTACAGTGATTGGCTTCAAGAGTTCAGAGAAAAATCATCAGAATTACTGAAGCAACTGAGTCAGCCGTCAGATCAGACAGACTCTTCTGTAAGTGTTTTGTGCAAGTTTTTTCATTCATTCATAAATTATTCATGATCAGCTTTGTGGTGCTCAGTCATTTACAGGACTGCCTAGATACCTTGTTTAGTTTAGCATTATCGTGGTTTGAGAAAGACAAATCGATCTGGAATTCATGGGCTTTGCCATTCTCTCCAGGGGAGTATGTATGTATGTATGTATGCTGTGGAAAATCAATGCATCTGAAAGTGTCTGATTTCCCCCCATTTGCAGTAACCCAAATGCACTAATTTCTGAGGGAAATGGAAGTTAAAGTTTTTTTATGTCCAGCCAAAACCTTTTATTCCTAATTTTGGATAGAGTGTGCAAGAATTAGAACCCATGGCAGGTTTTTGTTCCTGTCTTTGTCCCTGTTACAGATTTTCCCAGTTCCTATACCAAACCACATGTAACTATACAAATGTATGATTATATGCAGATTACGTCAAACTGATGCGGCTCCTATCACCATGTCAGTAACTTGAGTAGGTACAGCGGCCGCATCTGAACGGACACCTGGGATTCCTGCTGCAAGGATCCATAGGTTCTTGCAGCAGGAATTCCAGAATGCCCTGTGTTTAATGTAGCCTAATGGTGGAAGAACATAACGACAATTTCTTGAAATCTGAAATTAGGTGTATCTGGATTTGACACATCACAAAGTGCAGACAGGTGGACAGGCGCAAAACATATTAAGGTTCAATATGTTACCAGTTTAAGGTATAGAAGTAACAACAATCAGTTGAGTAGATTTGCCCCTTCAAAAGTGTCTGAAAGTCAAAGACACTTAGAAATTTAAATCAGGCTTGTTCATTTGGACAAAAGAAATGTGATTAAAGAAACGGTTACCTTGTCCATGCAGGGCAAAGTGACAGTGACTCTGCAAAGTGTACGACCCGACTCCCCCATTACTAACCTTACCTGCACTTCTGCAGCCAGAATACCCAGGGGTATGGGGCAGCATGTAACCTGCTCCCCTGTGATAGAGCCTGAGCCTAGCAAGCAATCTTTAGGCCGGAGCACTGTCACAGGAGCAGGGGAGTGCCAACACAGCTAAATTCAGCAGCAGCTGTGAAGGAGCTGCAAGGTGAGTATATGGGGGTCAGGGGACACTCTCACAGGTGTCTCTTTAAAGCTCAATTTGTTTGTTTTTTGCTTTGTATAAAGAGAGACGGGGTTGTCACTGTCTGGTCTCTATTGGGGAGATTTTCACTTATGGTTTGCCCTGGTGACAGGGAGTCAGAAAGTCAGGAAAATGTAAGTGTCTTCAGTGGGGACACAGCAACAAAAGCATTTTACTGGAGTGCGGAAGACATGTAACCCCTGTGAGTTGTTTTTTTAATCTTGTCTGTGCCTTCCTGTCTCGTTGATCCCCATTGCCTTATTTTTTTGTCCTGGTGTTGAACTGGTTGTTATTGGTTAATTGGGGAAAATCTTGACACTATTTTACTGTATAAGCCTTCTATGTATATTTATTATTACATGTGTTTTTATAGACACAAATCCAGATAAAGAGCCTAGAAGAAACCGTGGAAAGGCTGAAACTAGACATCCAAAACACAGACCAGGTATTATTACTGTTTTACTGATCAAGGACACCTGGGAACCCTGCTGCAAAGATCCATAGGTTCTTGCAGCTGGAATCCCAGAATGCACTGTGTGAATGTAGCCTAATGGTGGAAGAACATACCCACACCATGCAGAATGTGCTTATAGTTGTATTGGAATTCAGGACCTCAGCTCTGTGAGACTTCAATGCTAGCCACTAAGATTGTGATGTTGATTTTTTTTTATGCAGTTACATTTTGTGTTGAGGTTTCTTTTTCTGTCTGGTTTGCAGGACATGTTACTTAAGTTTAAGGAAGCAGAAGAAGCACAGACTTCGCTTCAAGCAGAATGTGACCAGTACAGGACTATCCTGGCTGAGACGGTAAGTTGTACTTTAATCCTACATATGTGCTAATAAGCATAATTAGAATGAAAGTACATACTGCTTATGTACTACTACACACATTATTTCTAAATATAAACTGTTTATATTATGTGTCTTCTTGTACCTGGTGCAAGCCCAGATTTGTAAAGTATTCATATCACAGGTCTGCATGCTTTTAAGAATCGTTCTTGAAGTTGTTCATGTCCTCTGGTCATGCAAGGCTCTTGCCGCTACAATAAGCAACCCAAAACTACTTGAGCCCACAGCACCTGAACATTCATTTGTTGTTTTCTGATGCTTTAGCATCCCTTATTGTGTCCTGTCCTGATCATACCTGTGAATTTAACCACTGCAGATTATAATATCTACTTTATTGTGTTATACGTTCCATCATCTATGGCTGGTCATCCGCTATCACTGTTGATAATGCACAAAAACATGGCTTTTCACATGCTCTGGTCTAATATTAGGTGCCAACTTTTTAATGTCTTAGGAAGGAATGCTGAAAGACCTGCAGAACAGTGTTGAAGCAGAAGAGCAGGTTTGGAAAGCAAAGCTTGAGGCATCTGAAGAAGAGCTCATGAAGGTGAGTCTAAATGAGCTTTATCAGGAAAGGTCAGCAGTGGCTGTCTCCATTACAGCATTTCACAACTGTGTTTTTCTTTATGTATATGACTATGTAAAACATGCAAAAAGGCATAGGGAAGAGGTCAGGAATTATATGTGTCACTTTAGTGGTTCCAGTAGAATCTTTAAAGAAAAATTCTTGAAATCTGTAATTAGGTGTATCTGGATTTGACACATCACAAAGTGCAGACAGGTGGACATGGCGCAAAACATATTAAGGTTCAATATGTTACTAGTTTAAGGTATAGAAGGAACAACAATAAGTTGAGTAGATTTGCCCCTTCAAAAGTCTCTGAAAGTCAAAGACACTTAGAAATTTAAATCAGGCTTGTTCATTTGTACAAAAGAAATGTGATTAAAGAGACACAGTTACCTTGTCCATGCAGGGCAAAGTGACAGTGACTCTGCAAAGTGTACGACCCGACTCCCCCATTACTAACCTTACCTGCACTTCTGCAGCCAGAATACCCAGGGGTATGGGGCAGCATGTAACCTGCTCCCCTGTGATAGAGCCTGAGCCTAGCAAGCAATCTTTAGGCCGGAGCACTGTCACAGGAGCAGGGGAGTGCCAACACAGCTAAATTCAGCAGCAGCTGTGAAGGAGCTGCAAGGTGAGTATATGGGGGTCAGGGGACACTCTCACGGGTGTCTCTTTAAAGCTCAATTTGTTTTTTGCTTTGTATAAAGAGAGACGGGGTTGTCACTGTCTGGTCTCTATTGGGGAGATTTTCACTTATGGTTTGCCCTGGTGACAGGGAGTCAGAAAGTCAGGAAAATTAAGTGTCTTCAATGGGGACACAGCAACAAAGGCATTTTACTGGAGTGCGGAAGAGATGCAACCGCTGGGAGTTGTTTTTTTAATCTTGTCTGTGCCTTCCTGTCTCGGTGATCCCCCATTGCCTTATTTTCTTGTTCTGGTGTTGAATTGTTTGTTATGGGTTAATTGGGGAAAATCTTGACACTATTTTACTGTATAAGCCTTCTATGTATATTTATTATTACATGTGTTTTTATAGACACAAATCCAGATAAAGAGCCTAGAAGAAACAGTGGAAAGGCTGAAACTAGATGTCCAAAGCACAGACCAGGTATTATTAATGTTGATATTACCATATGATACTGTTACTTGTGTATCTTATTATGCTAACACTAACAAGAGTTCACAGGGCAGGAGGACAAGTTGGGTTTTCAAACCCTTCTTTATAGTCTCAACTTATTAATTGAAGATTTTATAAGTAACATAACCAGAAAATATGGAGTACATCTTTTGGCTGAGATGATAAAATAATCAATATGAGAAGACCTTGGTGTAACAAATATCTAAATACACCTTGCAAAAAAATATTACCACAGACAACCAATTGTGGCTGCATAGATGAACAGTTTTTGTTATAAATTCTTTTATTTAACCCCTTCATGACTGAGGCCCTTTTTTCATTTAAACCCCAGGGGGGGGAGGAGGGGCGGTGGGGGGAGTGAACCGTAGGTCGCAGCCGGTCTTTGGTCTCGGGTGAAGGAAAAATATTGCCATATGTTTGTGTAGAGGAGAAGACAACCCACTGTAGCCAGGTAGCGCAAGACTGGGCTCTAATTCCCTCACTGGTTCCTATATCTTTTACCTCGATCTAAATGGACATGAATAGGTGGCGAGGTTTTGTTCAGTAGAGTGACGTGTGACAGGTGTTTCCTAGCGCAGTATCTCGGGGAGATAGGCAGTGTCTAGGTATTGCGGCATCCAGGAGGAGGCGAGGCATGATATCCGGTGTACTACCAGTACTCCGGGTGCGAACTCTGCTGCGGGGCCAAGGGTATGGGGGAGGAAGTGGGGGGAGACAGACTGGGGCGAAGTGGGGCCTACATCAGGCGGCAAAAGAGGGGAGGGGTCCAGGTAGGGGGGGGGGTGGCGGGGGGGGGGGGGGGGGCTTTTGTGG